ATATATATATATATATATATATAAAATAATAATAATTAACCATTTTTAAATTACTAGATGTCTTTTTAATAGTTAATAATTATTAAAAATAAATTATTGTGATGCAGTAATTTAAAAAAGGTTAATTTTTAATTATTTATTTTTAATAAATATTTGTCAATTTACTATGTAATGCAAATTTAAATTTTTTTTAAATGTATTGTATTATATGAAATGTCTAGATGCATAAGCATCATTTTCTTTAAGCAAAATATATATTTTTTAATTTTTAATTTTATAATGCAACCTTGGCATGTTCTACACATTTCTTACATCATATTTCATCAACAGCAAGCGTTTTGTGAATCCCGTGTTGAACTCTCCGAGATTAGAGAAGCGGTCGTCAGCAGAATGACGTGTTTGTGGGCGGGGTCAAGTTGTTCGCGGCCAGCCAACGGAGAACATAGGCGCACATTATGCAAATGTGTTACCCGTGACGTGTAGCCTTCACGGAAGTGGGATTCGAATTACTAACGACTCGTTTCAGCTGTTCAGAGTCGATTCTTTATTTTGGGAGACAATAACTTTATTTATCGTGCACTTTCAGCTTTACAACTTTACAGATTGTTTACATTCACATACAGCTACATTACACACTGCATGAAAGGCAATACTGGAAATGGCATAATAGGGGCACTTTAAAAAATAAGAAACTAAATAAAAATCTAAATTTACTACATTACATTTTTTACACTGTCATTTGATTTTGCATTAAAATGCAACATTAACATGTTCTTCATAGGTTTATGAGATTCACCCTTCAAAGATTCACATACTATTGAGTGAACAAGAGTAGAGGACAAGGCAACGCAAGTATCCTACATGTTGCCAGGTTAAATCTGAGATAGGAGCTCAGTGTTGCTCGCTCTATGACATTTCTGACTATGTTGTGTTTTATACTGTCTCTGAGCTGTAATGAAACCTTAGACAAGCAATGTGCTTTGAGTTTGGCCCAGTAGAATGTATCTTTCTCAATGGAAGTTTAGTTGTCCATTCGCCATCTCATGACACGAAAGGTGGCGTGTAGTTTCCGCTAGGAATATTGTGCGTGGCTTCAATTACCCGTCTTCCTAGATTATGTGCCGTACACATATGCAGACGTTGTACGATCATGACACTGCAACAGATTTATTTCGAAATACAGCAATAGCTTGCAGTCGAAAGCACTACAGCAACGTTACATATGATTTCCAAAGCTTGGTGCGAACTGTATTCGCTTTCTTTTGCTTCTTTGCTTCTTTCTTTGTGACATAGTTGCTTTAAACTATTTGAATATGATCTTGCGCTTTTCTATACAGGTCAAAGTACATGTTGAAAATGTCCTTTTGTCCAAACCGCTATACGCAGTGTGTGTATGTGTGAGCGTGTGTGTGTGCGAGCATGAATGTGTGTATTTCTGTATTTAGTGCACTTGTAATCCCATGAAATAGGCTTGAATATGGAGTGTCGGTAGAGATTTTGGTGAATTTGATTGTGTGCTGTGGAATTTTGTACTAAGGGGGTCTGTAGAAAGTGGAGCCCCCTACCAGTTTTTAAAAAGCATTCTTTTCATTACTTCAACTTTTGTGTGAAATGAGGATTTACGAAGTTAGAGTTTGACCCATCAGAGGTCTGACGGAGAACGTCCTCAAAGAAGTTTACAAATAAAAGTCATTGTGTTCGATTAGAAATGAGGGGGTCCTGACGGCCCTGGTTTGAGGTACAAAAGGATGATCCAAAAAATGATTTTATTTAGATGCTCTAGAACAGTGGTTCCCAACCACGTTCCTGGAGGACCACCAACACTGCATGTTTTCCATGTCTCCTTAATCAAACACACCTGATTCAGATCATCAGCTCATTAGTAGAGACTCCAAGACCTGAAATGGGTGTGTCAGACAAAGGAGAGATACAAAATATGCAATGTTGGTGGTCCTCCAGGAACGTGGTTGGGAACCACTGCTCTAGAAACTGTTAAATCTATTAATACTTATCAAATAATGAGAGTAATGGACAAAATGATCTTTTATTCCTTTAAAGTTTTTACCTAGGTTGGCAAGAGTTCTGAATCTAAACTATTATTCTGTCTCTTTTTCCCCTGGTGTATTAACTGTGCATTAATACCCCTCAAATAATTAATAAAATGTTGACAAAGATTTGACTGACTGATTTGTTTGTTTTCTTGTGTTTGGATAAATTCAATGTCAAATGTCACCCCAAAATCAATAGGGAGAAATATATATATATATATAATCAAAGTAGTATTATAATATTTTTAATTAAAACTGTTGTGCTGTGTAATTTTTGTGGAAATCATAATATTTTATTATTTATTTGAAAGAAATCTTTTGTAACATTATATACTGTCACTTTTGATCAATTTAATGCATCCTTGCTGAATAAAAGTATGTATTTATTTCCTTCAATCAATCAATCAACAAATATTGCTGATCCCAAACTTTTTAACAGTAGTGTACATGTATATACTGTATATATAGTTTTTTAGGATTTGTGACAGTTCATGTGTGTAGAATGTTGTTGTGGTCTTTTTGTGGATTTTAGTAATAGATTTGTACACATGCTCTTTATTATTGTATGTCCTTATAATCAATTAAATTACGATAATATTAAAACACATTGTGACATTTGAGTTTAGATGGCAACTATTAAGGATCTTCAGTATGTGTATATATTTTACCTAATTAATAAATGCCTTTACTGTCACTTTTGATCGATTCAGTGCATCCTTGCTGAAAAAAAAAATGTATATACATAGATAAAAATGTATGAATTAATGTATAAATATGTAATATTATAATATTTTACTTAAAGAAATTTCAGCATATTAGATGTTTTACCAATTAGCATAAGTTAAATTCATTAAGCAAACGCTACCATGAGGTATCCCTTAAACTGTACTTACAGATATACTTTACAGTTTACATTCTGGGATTTGTAGTTCTCTTTGGCTGAAGACAAGCACGACCCTATGAATTATGGAACTACATATCCCAGCAGCATTAGTTCAGCTTAAAGTCGCAACAGCTGATTGTTAAATAGGAAACTAACAATGTCTGCCGTGTGCGGAGACGGAAGGGTCTCAGCGATGGAGTGCGGAGATAAATCGTCTATGCGTTGCCCAAGGTACGTTTTAAGCTCTTTACCGCCTAACCTCAAAGTTATTAAGACTCCTTTTTTCTTAATTATGTGTGTATACATAGTTAACATTTAATCGCGATGGTTGACCTGTCTCGCGCGTGGTGCTGGAGCTGCATCTGCATCTCGCGTGTTTCTAAGACTTTACAACACACAAGTTAATCATACACGTCTGGTAATATTTATAAACGCCTCCTAGAATGACAAGAAGTGTGGATATTCGTTTCGACAATAAGCAAATGATTATGAAATGATGACCCTGTTTCCTTGTCTTGTTTTAGTCTATCAATATTTTCCGTGCGTGTCTCCACAAAATCTGGTCCTTAAATATGTTTCAAATGGCTTTTTTTTTAAAACGTACTGTGGGTAAATGTGTGTTTCTGCTCACTGTTGGTGTACAGCATAGTAGTGCCTATGAGTGACTCTTATTTGCATAGCTATGTAATATCATCATCACCGTTATATCTGTGGACCGTTTCTCAGCCACACCTAATTATTAACTTGCATGTAATTAAACTACTTCCTGCACAACATGTGAACAAAACCTGTAGTCGAGTTGGTTTCACGTGGTTGGTTGGTTTCTCATGTATAGATAGTGTTTTGAACTAATACATAGAATAAATTATGAAAGCACAAAATGGTTTGTAATGGTTTACGCTATACACTGTAACTGTATTATAGTTTATATATTTCTGAAGCTGATCTCTCACTCTCTCCTCGTGTTTGCTTTGAGTCACAGCTCGCTCATTCAACCCTTTACCAGCAGAGCTCATGTTACTGTATATTTACACACAGCCAGCTGCTGTTGGGAATGCTCTCCATGTGTGTAAACTGACATGTGTAGGATTGAAGTAGAAAGAGGACGTCTTGACATCTGGGAGCGAAATCTAATAGGAGAATAAAAGGTTTAATAGGTTATTGTCACACAAGGAATCATACAGCACACGCACCAATACATCCATGATTATGGATCAGCTCTTCTGGTTTTTGAATATACTTCTTTTAGGTTACTATGTATAGGTTTCTATATATTCAGAAGTTTGGTGAAGTCAGTAAGATGTTTTTAAAGAAATTAACACTTTTATATTTATAATTTTTAATGTATAATTTTACATTTATAATTCTTTCATTAAATAATTCTTTCATTAAATTGATCAAAGGTCATAATAAGGGAATTTATGATGAGAGATTTCTGTTTCAAATAAATGCTGATCTTTTGAACTTTCTATTCATCCAAAAATTCTGGGAAAAAAGTATTGTAGTTTCCACAAAAATATAGACAGCAATCCCTTTTTAACATCAATAATAATAATAAACATTTCTTGAGCAGATCAGTATATTAGAGTGATTTCTGAAGGGTCATGTGACACTGAAGACTGGAGTAATGATGCTGAAAATTCAGCTTTGCATCACAGGAATAAATTACATTTTAAAATATATCATGCAGTAATGCAGTAATCTGATGCAGTAATCCGAAAACAGTTCTTTAAAATTGTTAAAAATATTATTGCATAATATATACTGTGTTTTTGATCAAATAAATGCAGCTTTGGTGAACATTTACTGACCCCAAGCTTTTAATTTAAATAATATTCTGCATGTATGTATGTTTATAAAAAAGTATGTATGTTTTGTAACATAAAACAAATATTATAATTAATTTTAAAAATGGTTGTGCTGCTTAATATTTTATAGAAACCTTTGATGCATTTTATTTTCAGGATTCTTTGATGAAAAGAGAGATAAAAAAACAGCATTTAAAAAAAAAAACAGCATAAAAATGTGTTACTGTTATTTGTGATCAGCATAATGCATCCTTGCTGAATAAAAGTATTAATATAAATAATTAAAATATATAATATTGTTATACTTTTTTGTGGCAGTTTATGCGTGTATAACAACTATATTAGGCTACTGTTCTCATCTTTTTTTGGTGGATTCTAATAAGTTTTGTATACAGGTATCGTATGTTATTATAATCAGTTATTAAATAATTACTATAATAGTAAAGCATCTAATTACTGGGACCTTTTTTTTAGTTTGCGACTAATACATCTTAATACACACAGAAAGAACACAGTTCGATATATATTTGTGGATGTGCATGCGCTGTAACATTACATTCAGCACTGGCTGGGATACTGAGTTTCATCATGATGTTTGTGAGGGGTGTCCCGCGAAGGGGGTCAGCTGGAGATACGCCCCACAGGACGGGCTGGTTGATAAGGTGATCACAGAGCCCTAGGGTGTTATGACGAGAAGGCACAGACCTCATGACACGACACCTGCTGTCTCGGTCCAGTGCTCTCGCTTCACAGAGCAGCCTGATTTGTTTATGTTCCGCGCCTAAGAACACAATTCAAAACCGCTCCTCTCGATCTCTCCAGTCAGAGTGTCACAGACCGATGAGCTGCAGCATAAGAGGCCAGCGGAGGGGGGCGTGTGCTCTGCGTGTTTCCAACCTGCTGCTATTAATACATAATCTGCAGGATACGTTATCCTCTTATGTTTGTTGGCAGGGTCTATAGTAGCGCGTTAGTGAGAGAGAAAGCGAGAACGGTTTCTCTTGAATGGTCCCAGCCCACTAAACACTTGTGACAGAGAAAACCAAACCGACATAGAAAGCAGTTTTGTTTTCCTCCCCTCTGCTTCACTTTCGTTTTCTCCCTGTTCTGTGGCTCTCCTCGGCTTGACAGAGGGCAGGCGCTCTAGCGTCTGTGTATGTGTGCGTCCCAGCGCTGATCTTTCGTCTGTCTCTGCGCGCCCGTCATGAACACACTCCCAGCGTACTCGGGAGCCAGGATCTCAGGCTGCTGGGCTCTTAGGGCAGATGGAAGGTAAGCCTGGTAACTTGAAGTCATTTTCAGAGCATCTTTGTGTCTATCCTCCTCAGGTGTGTTGGACGCTCTTGAGTTGCAATTGAATGGTAAATTCAGCTGTTGCTGACAGGACTCTCTGCTTGCTGTGTTTTTTCAAGCTGACTTGCATCGATAGGTAGCACTTTTCGCTATCGAATTATGCTACCATCTGTTTTAATGGGAGGTAGCAAAATCTGAAAGGGTAGCACAAATCTAGGCGAACTAGGTAGCCGCCTAAGCCAGCACAGTCAGGGAGGCAAAAAGGACAGAGATTTTAGTTTATCTTTTGGGCATTCTTTGGAATTATTGCACTCATATCAACAAGTTATCACCCCTTAGTTATTCTAACTCTAAATTAACTTCGCTTCATAGTAATGCCGCTCCCGCGTTGTGCCCCACCTGAGCGGCGTCAATATCGCATGCAAAACACCCTCATGTACTTCCATAAATGTCATCAAAATGAATAAAACTATCCGGACATGAATGACTTTTGCTACTGGTGATGTCTGATGAGTTTTAAAGCCCGACACGCGCTCCTGAAAGGTAAGATTATAGCCTACTGTGAGAGAAAACGTGGGGGAGACACAGGTGGACCTGTTTTGGACCAAAACCTTTTTTTTTTTTCTTTTTTTTTTTAAGCAGGTAGCCTAGATATTTAGCCTTTATCCCCAGCTTGTTCAAATTACGCCCTAACTACGAATAGGGATTTCGGCTGTACGAGCACGGCTTGAACAGATTTCTGTCTCTTAGTGAAAATGAACTACAGAGACTTGTGCTTTCCGTGTCCTGAACCACGTTTGTCGAGCTGGTTACCGGGAATCCTCCCAAATCTTCCCATGGCCACTTCAGGCCCGTACATACACTTAATTTGCTTTTGCAGCTATGCTAGTGGTTATTTTTTATTAATTTATTTTTTTACGTTGGAGTAGGAAAAAAATATAATAATCAGAAAACACGCCCGTGTCTGCTTTATTTTAATGCAGTTGTACCAATAAACAAAATCTCCAGTCTTTCACATGCATCTTAAAGATCATGTTTAATTGTGAATGTGAAGGGCGGGCGGCACGGTAGGGTTTTGTGCTTCTAGCGATTGGCTCTTTCATTCGGAAGGCGGGGCTTCCTGCGATTGAGCGTTGCATTTTTCCCCATTCAAAACTATACGAGTGACACGTCTTGGGTATTCTATAGTGCTTCTTTTTTTTAAACCCCAAGAATAATCACTTTCTCCGATCAGGCTCTTCTGAGATTCTTGGCAGAGTGACGTAGTTTTGCACAGGCTGCTCCCACGACTATTGACTGATACAGCCGTTTAAATGTAGACCCGCCCTGAGTGAGCTGTCACCAGTCCACCATTGTTTCGACACCGGAGCAGATGTCTCCTAAGCGATTGAGGTGTTCTGTTTTTGGATGTAATAATGAACATAGCAGTCGTCATTTACTCCTGACATCTGAGCCGCTGAAGACAGTGGATTATGTTTGTTTTTGAAGGGAATGCGCCCAGATCCCACCTAAATGTGTCTACGTTCGCGCGAATCATTCGTGATCCAGCTTCACCTACAGAAGAAGTGAGTATACGTTTTTTTTTTATTTTTATGAATCTTTGCAAATTGCCTATCCTAATAAACCATTGTTTCGACACCGGAGCAGATGTCTCCTAAGCGATTGAGGTGTTCTGTTTTTGGATGTAATAATGAACATAGCAGTCGTCATTTACTCCTGACATCTGAGCCGCTGAAGACAGTGGATTATGTTTGTTTTTGAAGGGAATGCGCCCAGATCCCACCTAAATGTGTCTACGTTCGCGCGAATCATTCGTGATCCAGCTTCACCTACAGAAGAAGTGAGTATACGTTTTTTTTTTTTTTTATGAATCTTTGCAAATTGCCTATCCTAATAATGTGCTAGTTAGCAAGCTTCATGATGAATGCGGCTAAATTTAACAGGCGGCTCGTCACCCCACAAAAGTTCAGCAAAACAGCTCAAATCCGCATAAGGAAGTTAAAATAGCACGGCTGCATCAACAAATGCATTTTTATTTCACTTTTGTTAACACTATTGGGTAGGTTTATTTCCAACACGATAGAACATTAACCTTTAGCGACACTCCTCGGATATTTGAATTCTGAACAGCCGCAATACGTACAAAGTAAGTCATGTCACTCGGCGGCCATCTTTGAAAAGCCTCTCGGGCATGCAAGTGCAACTCCTATCTCTTTGAATGGGGAAACATCAAATTCTCCAACACTGTTCACTAAGCTTACAATTAGGCCTAAATTTCATATTTGAAATCACCGAAGAAATCTTACAACTGTGTCATAAATGTTGTTACTTTTGCTCAAATAGCGTTATAAAAAGCTTATTTTTCAGGCTAGATCAGCCAGTGCGCATGCGCAGTCCTAAGCGCACATCTCAGAACGCTGCTGTTTCTATAGCTACCGGGACTTCTAACGGCAGCTGCAGTGACGCTCTGACTTTACCGATTAGCGATTGGCTCTTTCATTCAGAAGGCGGGGCTTCCTGCGATTGAGCGTTGCATTTTTCCCCATTCAAAACTATACGAGTGACACGTCTTGGGTATTCTATAGTCTTTGATACGTACCTCAATCAGCGTAATAAAAACGCAGGAATACGTGCCTGTACCAATATATTAAAAACGTGCCACGGTCACGTATTAAACGTGTGTTTTAGTGCCACTCTCTGGACATTTCTCTTTGAAACTGTCGCGAAACGTGCAGTAAGGTACGTAATAACGGTGCTGCAGAAATTTTGTATTTAGAGGCACATATTTCCAATGAGCCTGGGTTGTGTTTTACACTACCATAGAAAAATTTTAACCAAAGTATGTTACAGACTTTTCATTAAGACCCTAATGATATCAACTTGCAGAAAGTGGGCACCTGATGAGCCCTTCAATCATAACAGGTTTGGAGAAATGTAGCATACATCACTTGCTCATCCTCTGTAGTGAATGAGTGCCGTCAGAATGAGTCCAAACAGCTGATAAAAACATCACAATAATCCACAAGTGATCCACTCGACTCCAGTCCATCAGTTATTGTCTTTGTGTAGTAAGAAGTTGTTTGTAAGAAACAAGTCCATCATTAAAATGTTTTTTTTTTTTACCTTCAAATGATTTTTAAAGGGGTCATATGATGCGATTTCAAGTTTTCCTTTCTCTTTGGAGTGTTACAAGCTGATTGTGCATAGATAAGATCCCTGAAGTTGCAAAGACTAAAGTCTCAAAACCAAAGAGATATTCTTTATCAAAGTTAAG